CCCCCCTTCTAAGTGTTTTCTCAACCTTCAAGAACATTTCATGATTTGAGTCAAATGAGCAAGTGAATTAGAATAAGAAAACATAAAGATTCTGACTCATTTTCCGTCTGATTTAAATCAAGTACAAAGTCTGATTCGAATAAAAAAGCCCTTGATTCTAATCAAGTGCGACATATGATTCAAGTCAATTTGAATAGAGCCGAACTAAGAAATGTGAAAACTTGACTGATTCGAGTCAGGTGTAAAGTCTGATTCGAATCAATTGAAGCAGAGTGACTCAGATCTGTCTGACTCAAATTAGGTGAAACTTGTGATTCGAGTCATAGTGTTGCTTGATTAGAATAAAGTTAAAACGCTGACTTGAGTCAGAGAAGTTGAAAAAGTTTATTTTGCCTTTGTTCAATTTGATTCAAGTCGGGATATGTACATGATTCGAATCATGCACACAAAATCTCAAATTTTCATGGTTTTCAAAATATATTGAGATTTTTCTTTTCACCTAAACTGAACCAATAATATACACAGTTCTTGTTCCCCTGACTCACACAATTGACTAAAAATATCATGATCAAACTCAAATATAATAATTGAATTATGCATGCTAAAAAACAAATCGATTCATACTTGATTCAGAGATGTGCAATCATGGAAGAGACTCAATAAACAATAGCGAAATGAAAGCGATAAGACAAGCAAAAAAAAACATATTGGGGTTCTCCTCGTGAATGTATTAGGTACATGTAACTTTAGAATGCGCCAACACGAAGTTTAAATAAGTCAGAATAATGAACCCATATCCGGTAATGGGGTCTGCATGGACTGATAAGTCTAAATATTTCCATTTCCACAAGAGTCATAACCACAACACCAACGATTAAATTCAACTGAAAGATTGAATTGTGTGGCTAATTTATAAGGGGAGACTGTCCGAGTATATCAAGGACGACAAGAGGGACCGAGAAGAATTTCTAAATAGAAAAAAATCCCCTAAGAAAATCGTTGAAGTCGAAGGGAACAAGGGAAAAAACTAGTACATCACTTACATAACAGAAGACGAAGGGAACAAGGGAAAAACTAGTACATCACTTACATAACGAGAGGCGCCTTGAGGGAAAACAAGCCTTCCAAAAGCACAATAAAGAGAAATATTGTTGATCTGATGGTCATCAGAAAGAACGAAGGAAACACTTCAGTCGCGAGCCCGAAAAATCCGACTCTCAAATTTTGGGATAACGATAAGATTAGGGGATTTCGAATGAAATTTTTCCTTAAGTGATAACGACCACTATTGCCAAATTTAACGTCTCCGGAGTTTTGATTGATGGAGGAAGCTCATACTAAATCATGTACTCCTACAAAAGAAGGGATGGTTCTATGAAGGTCATACCTACAAGTTTTCAATGACAAGGTAACACGTCCTTGGGGATACATCAAACTGATGGTCACCTTAGGAGAAAGGATGAACACAAGGACCATTGATTCCTAATTCCTAGTAGTCCCACTACAGAAGCATCTACAACTGCATCCCGGGTCGGCCCTTTGTAACAATGTTTGATGCAATGGCTTACCTGATCCACCTCAAGTTGAAGTACCACAATGTGCATGATGAAGCAGTGACAACAAGCGTCACCATTTCTTAAGCAAAAAGAATTTATAATACCCTACAATAGGACCAAAATGAAGGCGAGTGTAAATCTATCACAAATTCCACCAGCATATGATTAAAGCAATCAAAATCCCACGATGTCAACACACATATACAAAGAAATCAAGCCTAAAAAGGGAAAACAAATAGCTCACCCTCTTTCGGTAGCTAGCCATTCTATATGTCGCGGTGGGCCCGAAAATATGTTGACCTCAAACTAGGTTTCCACACGGGGGCTTGGGAAGGGATAACTACCCTTGGCTGGGTATGGTCCCCAAAGAAGTCCAAAAGTTTCGAGCACAAACTCGGAAGGAAAGTTGAGTCATAGAGAAATGAACTTGGGACCAGAAGCAACATCGCAAACAAGGTAAAGTACGAATAAATAATGGACTGAAATATATATTCATTGCAGGAAAAACGACAAAGCTACACATATGTCGAGTATGAGCACGTCGATATAACAAAAGAAGAGAGATAGTCCATCAACTAGACCATTTTCTCGTCCTCAATAACTTCATTGAGATGAACTCGATCCCGGTAGACATGAAAATTGGGATAAAAGTACTCCACTTGATTCAAAGCACTTTTAAAAGCACCCTAGAAGATAAAGGAACCCTCTTGTAACGACTTAGCTATCTCCTTAGAAATATCAACATTCTCTTGGCACATCGCACAAAGACCTCCCCCATCCCTCTTCTCACTTTCCCGAGATTCTTCCAGAGACTTCTCTAATACTTCTATCCTTTTCCGAGTAGGATCTGAGGATTGGTTCGTCTCTTCAAGAGCGGCCTCTACTTTGGACAAATATGCCTGAATAGAAGCCAAAACCTCATTCTTCTCGGCTGGTTCCCGGGAAAGCCATTGTACCATTTCCACCAGAGTACCCAGATATTCGAAAGAGTCCACAACGTCCTTTATTACCAGGAATTTTTTGAAGCACATTTGATCTCTTCAAAATATGAACTTCACTCACCTATAAGACCATCAACTTGTTCCTAAAGTTTATCCCTCTCCTGTCAAAGGTGGTCAAGCAAGAAAGCTTATCATCGACCAACAACTTTAAATGAGAAAGTGGAAGCTCCCCCAACATAAGGGGTACTCGAAATTCCAAACAAAGAAGTAATCACCCAAATCCCCTTCCTTAATCGCCTAGGCATTCTCGCTCTTTATCGCATCCACATAATTAAGAAAAGAGAGGCCTGAAAAGGTTCCAAAAAATGAAACAAGGAAGGCAAGAACTTGATTCCACTTACCAAAATTCATCTTCCTTTCCTATTTTTTTTAACTAGCCAACAAGTCTGGATGCATTTTTTGATCGGTTTCCCGATGCCCTACTAGATGAGATAGTTTTGTCGATACAACTTAGTTCCTACAAAATACTACAAGTTGATTCTTCAAGTGCAACTCTTAAAAGGACATGTATCCTTCCTTGTAAGCATATGAGCCCGCCCCCGTCAAGTAATGACTTTAAGTCCAATAGTTGTGAAAGATGTCCGAGCAAGAAGAGGAAAGACCAAAGTCTAAGTTGTAGATCTTCATGTATGCCTCCTCGGTCATAGGAGTAATCAGGTAAAAACGACTTCAAAATGCTTCATGTTGTCAGAGTAATTTTTGAAATACTTGATATGTTGCCTCAAGGAGAGTAAGTCATAATCGTTTGCTCGTTGGAATTATTTTGAAATTTGAAAAGATGAAAGAATAACGTCACGGCCGGCTTACGCCCTTATACTCACATTAGTGGTGGAAAACCTTAACAAATGCCCGACTTACAAAGTGCAACTGGGAAAGAGAAATCGATAAGTGATTCAATATGCTTACTTCAAATTCGTTGAAAGGAATGCAATGACCTATGATGGAGAACATGAATTCGCGGAAAAGGATAATGCATCCATCATACCGGCTACACATGCTCTTGTCTTTGTCAGGGGAAACACCCTTAATAAGTTGTGAGACCCACGTCCGTCAAAACTTAATCAAAAATACCTTTGCATATAAAAGTGTAGACAAACCCTAGTATGCTGGGATCCACCTATTCACCGAAAATATCCTTACCAACCTTTTTGGTCAAACTTGATACTATCACCATGGTAAAATATATTGCAAACAAAATTGATGCAGGTATAGTGAAATAAACAAGTTCAAACAGTCCCTATATTGAAAGCCCTAGAGAAGAGGACCAAGAGCAAAAAGAAAATGAAAACTTCAAGCTCAGGAGAAGGATCAATCTAGCATACAAAACTAATATTGACAAACAAAATTGTTTGAGTTTGATTCAATGTCAAAACAAAACAATCCCATGAAAGAATAATAAAGGAAACAAAAACATTATCTTCACAAATCGCCAACAACAAAAATGAAAAAGTAATGCTTCAAAAACCTTTTACACTCTATTCAAGTACCGAAGGACCGTACAATCTACCCTGTACTACCAACCATTGAGATCTTCTCAAAAACGACTCGAAGTCACTTGAGTACTCTAAAGAAGGAGAAACATCATTGCTAGCTAGGGAATACAAGCAAGTTCGCCACTCTCTATGTTACGTTACGACTTCCAAGGGAGACATTTAATGCGCTCATTCCTGAGAATGATAACATCCCATTTAGGACTTCCACGTCCACAGATCTCGTGTCCAAGTAATGATGTGCGTCACAAACCCTACGAAGCAGAGACAATGGCTTAGAGACAACTGTTTCAGACCGTTCATAGACCCAGAAAACGAAGATCTAATTACAAAGTGACAAGCTGGTAAACACAAAATATGTATATCCATTTTCCTTCGCTTCACATGTAACCTCTCATGAGAACATCACGCTAATAACTCATACCAATTTGACGACTAACTGCTTCCCACATCGTTTTACACACGTCCAATTATCAATCGTCACCTCTATTTAAAGAGGAAAGCACACCACTTCACATACATTCAAATACTTTTTCATTCAAATTACACTTGTTATTCTCTTATCGACTTAAGTGTTTGTATGTTAATCTTACGGATCAAACCTCTATCTACTACATAAAAAATCTTGAACCACAACATAACGTGAATCCATCCTCTCTAATCAAATTTAGTTCCGCAGTGGAATAGAATTTAAGATAAATAATAAAAACAATATATTAAAATTAAAAAATATCCTCGAACCCAATTTAAAATTGAATGAATTAAATGGTAAAATTATTTATTGATATTGATTGCCACACGTAGTGGAGCTACCCATCCTCCCTGCATAACAAACGTTGCAGTTCGCGATTTTCACCCCTATCAACGTTGGATCGTCTCATTTCCTGTCAATTTGGAGATGTTTTTTCTTGCGCTGTTGTTACACAACAATCCTCCTACCAAGTTGAGGTTAAATGGATTTCTTACTTCGAGGTTTGGACTTTACAAAGCCCTTTGCTCCATGCTTCAGATCCTCCAGATCCATCTATGATTTCATTGTCAAGGTTCTATTTCACTCAAATTTCATAATGGGTCAATCAAAAATATCAAATTGATCCAATTTTTAAGGAAATTGATTATACTTTATTGATTCTAATGTGAATTACAATTGCAGGATATCCGTAAAAATGATGTGAGTCTTAGTGTTTACCGTGGGAAGGTTCTACTGGTTGTCAATGTTGCTTCACAATGGTAACTTTTTTTCATTCATTCATTTCTTATACATATCACTGCGTTGTGTTCATTTCAATCTTTTTTTGTCGGTTACACGTTGTTGTCTGTATGCGTGTTTCATATAAATGTCATTGAATTATTCTATAGAAGTATGATACTGAAATTTCACTATGTGACTTCTCTGGTGGATGATGTCAAATAGGATTTAATTATAGGAAATTCTTTTGCTGCAGTGGGTTTACGGAAATAAATTACAAAGAGTTGAATGAGTTGTACGCGGAGCATAAGAATCAAGGCATGTTACTCTAGCCATGGACAAGAACAAAAAATATATGTCAATTATGCTTTACGAGTGTGAATTCTAATACTATACTAGTGATTCTGAAAATTGTCTGTAGGGTTTGAAATATTGGCATTTCCATGCAACCAGTTTCTTGCACAGGAGCCAGGAACCAATGAAGAAATTCTGAATTTCGCCTGCACAAGATTCAGATCTGAATTTCCAATCTTTCATAAGGTGATTACTGTGATTTTTTATTTGGACTCTCTAATTTGCTCACTTTTTATTTTATTTTATTTTCTTCTACTATTCTATCTGGAGAGTCGAGGGAGGAATGAAATGAGAGGTTGGAGACAAGTTTTAGAAGGGCATGCCTACGCCTGAATATAAGTAAGATGGAGTATATGAAATGTAAGTTTAGCAAAAGGAGAAACGTTTCTATCTTAGAGGTGAAAGTTGGAGATCATATCATACCACAAGTTTTACAATTTTAATATTTTGGGTCCATACATAGTACAAAACGATGGAGAAATAGAAGATGACATAAACCATCAAGTTGCGTGGTGGAAATGAAGGAGGGCCTTATGTGTGTACGTGACACAAAAGTACTGTTCAAACTAAATAATTTTTTTATAGGACAACCATAAGACTCGTGATGTCGTACGAGACAAAATATTTGGCTGTCAAGAACCAACACGGAAATAATCTAAATGTAGCAGAGATGAGGATGTTGCGTTGGATGTGTGACAAAGCTAAATAAGGTAAGGTTAGAAATGATAATATTAGAGAGTGTTGAGATAGTACATATAGTAGAAAAGATTGTGAAAACTAGACTAAGGTGGTTTGAGCACGATAAGAACTGAGAATTGTATAATATGCAAAGCAAGAAAATAATTGGAAACAAAGATTTGTATTATTTGATTGAAAGGGATGGTTTACAATAGGATTGAACCTAACTGCCATAGAGCCAACCCCCTATGAAGAGCAATAGCTCTCCATTCAATATACTCAAAGATGACAAAATGAAACTAACATTCCACTACTTAAAGCACCACTCTAACAGAAATTTGTTATTGGCAATCCACCTTACTAACAGACAACTCAACAAGTAACACTACTTCCATTACTTTGCACCTGCCTTCCCCTACGTGTGTACACCTTCCAAGTAATGGGTTGAACAACATGTCCACTAGTATTAACTCCCTCCTTGACTTTCAACCTAGTCCCCAAAGTTAACTTGAGGAAAATGACTCTTCATGTTCACCATGTTCGCCGTGTTCTCCCAAGTCGCTTCTTCTATACCCTTGCCTTGCCACTTAATAAACTTGATCCACATCCTCTCCACCTTGCTTGACAGGTCGAGTAGCTAGCACTTCTTCTCATTCAAAACTCCCTGGAAAACCGCCTTTTAACTCATCTGGAAGTTCCTCTTCAACCTGATAATTTCCCACAACTTTCTCTTCAAAAGTGAGACATGAAAACACGGGGCGAATCTTAGCTCCTTCTGATAGTTGCAACTTATACGCCACTGTGCCAATCTTCTCAAGAATACGACAGAGACCATAATAACGAGCCGCTAACTTCGCATTGATCCTTGCAACCGTACTCTTCTGCCGGTGCGGACGGAGTTTAGAAAAACCCAATCTCCTACTTCGAAATAGTGTTCAGTATGATGGTGATCTGCTTGAATCTTCATGCGTTCTTGTGCCTTTTATAGCTGTTGTTTCAACTATCTCAGTGCTTCGTCCCTCTTCAATAACTCCATCTGAACAGCTGCTACCCGAATTTCTCCACTCATCAATCTTGTAATCATGGGTGGCTTGCGACATAATACCACTTCAAACGGTGTTCTCCCAGTGGACGCATTAAAGGATGTGCCCATGATTTTGGTTGATCAATTATGGAACATCTTAAGTCTCCACATATCGATTCACAACTTCGGTTTGCCAGTCCGACTCCAGATGATACGCCGAACTCATCTTAAGCTGTGTCTCTTGTAGACGAAACGAAATAACTCACGACAAAAGTTGCTCACAAATATAGGATCTCTACCACTCACTATAGTTGTTGGTAAACCGTGCTAGTGTATAATTTCTCGAGTGAACACTTCTGCCACTGCTTTTAATGTGTATGGATGCTTCAAAGGGATGAAGTGGCTATACTTTGAGAGCCTATCGACCATCACAAAAATAGCTTCAAATCCCTTCGACTTGGGCAAACGAGTGATGAAGTTCGTAGACCACACCATATTTGGCACTAATCAGGGCTGCAACAATCCACCTGGCGCTGTAGCGAGGTATTTTTGGCGTTGCCACACATCGCAACTACGCACATATTCCCGTACCTCACTTTTTGTTCCGATGCAACTTACTTTTCATTCCGACCCAGTACACATTAGCTGCCAATCTTCGATAAGTACAATAAAAACCGAATTATCCTTATTAACAAAACTGAATAAAATGGGGCGAGTTACTCCTCAAAACTGAATTTGAAAACCAGTTACCATCGAGTAAGAGTTAGAGAAGAACACATTCCCAAAACTGCATTCTAAACCCATTATGAATTTTTAGTCATGCCGTTTGGATTGGCCAATGCTCTATCAACATTCTAAGCCTTGATGAACGAGTTGTTTAAAATTGTTGAGGAAGTTTGTCTTGGTGTTTTTTGACGACATATTAGTGTATAGTAAAGAGTGAAAGGAGCATTTATCTCAATTAACCATGGTGCTGCAGATCCTAGAGACAAATGGGTTGGTGGTGAATCGTAAGAAGTGTCAATTTGCTCTTAACTAAGATAACCTGGCTTGAGAAGGAACTTTGACTGTTCCGTATTATCCCCATGGACAACATCTCTCACTTGGCGCTCAATCTCACTCTTGTGGTGATGAGGATATCAATAAGGAGACACGTTAACCGGACCTTGTCCTTCAATTCACGTAATAGTATGTTCTTGTGCTCTCTTCAGGGGTAATCCTTCAAGTTCCTTAAACACCTTGCTGAATTTGTTCAACACTGAATTTTGCTCTTTCTATTGCTGTTCTGACAGCCCACCTACTGATGATTTTGAGTCGACTTCAGCGCCTAGTATTGACCACAAGTCCCTTTGTATCCTTCTTGTTTTGTCTGGGGTGATCAAAATGCTTTGTAGTGATTGAGCTTGTTTATGATTCCCAATATCCTGGAACGTCACCCAAACTCCAAAATTACATTGTATGTTTCCTCCAATTAATCACCATATCCCCAAGGTCTTTTAGCCATGCTATCCCAAGGACCCTGTTTTGCCCACTTTTTTTCCGAGTGGGCCAAGGGTCACACCCTCTAATGTGTCTGCTCCGTTTTTCTCAGGCTTTTACGGAAGTGAGAATTAAGTTAAAATTTTGCATTTTCAGGCTTAAAATATGGAGTGCCCGTGGGCCCGTCTCGCCCTTACTTTTTTACGGGACAGGTAAAAATTTTAAGTCTGCACCCTCAACTATGCTTGCCCACGCCCGTCCAATTTTTTTGTGGACTTTTGCGGGACGGGCCTAAACAGGACCTGCGTGTCCGCTTGCCACCCCTACTTCTAACATAAACAAGTATGTCAAATTGTGCATCAATCTTTGCACAATCCATGCCTCTGTACATACCACGAGTTGAACTTTGGTATCCATCACTCAATTTGATCGACAATTCAGTGGTATCCTCCATACTCCACCCTAATTTTTGTACTAATTGTTGAGATACAAAATTGTGGGTAGCTCCACTATCAACCAACACTATAACTGGTGCGTCTAACACAATACCATGTAGCTTAAGTGTTCGAGGCCTGTCTCTACTCTCCACGTCTACCCTTGAGGGTCATAACCTTCAATTCTCCCTTTGTCGTTTCCTCCGTTTCTGTGACCTCCACCCCCAACAATCGTCCCTCCTCTCCATCCTCCTCGTCATTGTCCACACCATCATCCTTAGTTGCTTTTCAGGGCATTGGTGAAGAGGGTGGAATGGGCCTCTACATTTGTAACACAATCCTTTTTGCTTGCGATCCTTCAACTCATGAATAAGTAAGATGGGTGAAGTCCTTATCTCTGTACCCAATTCTGCGTTTCTCTTTCACACCTCCTTATTACTCCTGACCCATGCGGGACCTCCTTTGGACCCGCTAGCATTGACCGACCCAATTTCTTTGCCGTTTCTAACTAGGACGCAGTCAGAAATTTCGGATCTACCTGCTACCATATTTGGGTACCTGGTTCAGATCCGCTCCAACTTATTTATTTCCAATCTCCTTCTCCACTGCCCTGACGACATGCATCAACTTGGACCGGTGCAAAACTCAGAACTCTGCCCCAAATCTCTTCCTTCAATCCATGGAAGAAATAACCATGAAACTGATTGTTAGACAATTTGGGTACACGTGCAACCAGAAACTCGAAGTCCTGAATGTAATCATCTACACACCCTTTTTGTTGTAAGTCTGATAACTGATCAAATACGTCTCCAACTCCAATTCCTCCATAACGATCTAACATTGCGATGAGCTGTTCCGGGTTCAATTTTTCCGTACTCTACCTTTGCTAAAGCAGATCAAACTTCGGATATGATAACTCATCTTCGAGTGCTGCTATTTTGGCCTCCATTCCTTTTTCACCTTATATCATTGATCCCCTCTTCGTATCCAGCAGGTCACACCAATTTGACAGGAACTGGGAATTGTAATATTTAAGAAAGATCTCAAGAATAATGAGCTAGATATAAACATGCTTTTTGATAGAACATTATGACATAGTTTGATCTATGTAACCAACTCTACTTAGTGCGATAAGATTTGATTGTTGTTGTACTATTCTATCTGAATTTGGCACACCGTGTATTTCCCTAGCCAAATTCTGCATGCAATATTTTTTCTTGCAATGAATTCTAGAAGCATTTAATGCAAATATTAAAAGATCAGCAATGCTATTTAGTATGACAACTTTTTTGACGAAACGAATATTATAACTGACCGATCAAAAAAGCTGCATACATAAATAAAAGTCAAAAGTTTAGCGCAAAACACTGAGCATTTGGCAGAAATCACAGTGCATGGAAAACAATCAACAGTTGTTAAGCATTCGTTCATCTTCGTATCGTGCCACAAAGCATTTTCCTTAAAAGATATGCCAGTTTATATGGAAATCATTCTGAAATAATAAAATAATTGTAGATTGAAGTCAATGGAAAGAATGCAGACCCACTTTACAAGTATTTAAAGAATCAGAAAGGTGGGATGTTTAGAGCCATCGATTGGAACTTCGCCAAATTCTTGATAAACAAACAAGGGAAGGTTGTGAAGAGATATGCTCATACCATTCATCCTCGTAAAATTGAGGTTAGAGTCATTTTAGTCCTTCAAGATTTAATTATAATTGGAACCCCTTTGCCATGTTGATAAGGTACGCGTTTCTTCTTGCAGAAGGATATTATAAAGCTTTTACAATCTTCTTGAGTACTAAACTCATGTTTCAGAGGTATCTCAAATTGACTATGGTTAATTTTCTTCAGTTGATGATGTTCATAGTATCTCAAATTGTTTCAGAAATCATTATATGAACCTAAAAACTACATCAGCTTATGCTATGCCTTTCTATACTTTACAGGAATGAATAATCTGTTCAATGTTTTCATAGGACAAGGAACTTTACTAAAAGCTTGTACTACTTATCCCTAGTTAATTTATGGCTTGAAAAATTCTTTATATGTTTGTGTATCTGGATTATGCAATAAGCTCAATTTGGTGTTTACACAACTTTTTAGTTCTAACTCAAAATAGTTCCTCTCATATTTTTATATTCTAAAGTAGTGTTTGATAAACGCATTTAATAACAAGAACTTGATTTGCACTTTATATTTTTAGTAACTATTCAAAAATATTGATAATATTTAGATTAAGTTAAAACATCCTATATTTTTAATGATCAACTTTATTGTCTTTGGATATTTTTATAAAAAATGTAGCATACTTAACAAATTTTGTTATAAATTTTAAAGGAGTAGAAAAATTTCACTAAAAAAATTATCACTTCTTTCTCCACCCTTACATTTTCTTAGTCATCTCTGACGAAATTTCATTTTTACTCTCAGAATTCGGAGATATATCTCCGAACACACCGAAATTTATTTTTTTAGGGTTATTTTGAGATGCATTGTCGAAACCTTTTTTTCTTCAAAATCATGGATATTTCGGAGATGCATCTTTGAAATAGAATATTTCAGAAACAAATACGAACAACCACCCCCTTTATTTTCACATCATCCAAAATCTAACTCTCAAACACCCAAAAATCTCCAAAAATCTACAATTTCAGAACTCATTTAAGTTGGTATACTCATTTGCACTTGTTACAACTCACTCGAACTTCCAATTTCAACACGTTTCAACAACTCCAAAAACTTCAAATTTGAGTAAGTTCTCAAATCTCTTTAATCTTTACATTTCTAGTTTAAGTTGTATAGATTATCTATAAACTGTAAAAAAAAGTTGTTTTTTAGTGTAAAAATTAGATTTTGGTGTAAGAATGGTGCTGCTAGGTTGGAGTTTTTTTGCAATAGAAGTCACAAGTTATTTCGGAGATATATCTCCGAAAATTCCTCTGAGTAGTTTCAGAGATGCATCTCCGAAAATTCCTCTGAGTACATGGGTTGATTTTTTTCATAGATGTTCTTATTTGTTCTTGTATCTTTGATTTGATTAATGATTGTTTGTTTTTCAGAATAATGGCAGAGAACCCCAACAGGCTGAGACTTGGTAGGCCTAGTCAAACTGCATTCGCTCGACGAGAGAGAGTTGAGCAGACTACGAGTTGTTGAGGATGGGTCATATACATGACATGATTCTACACAGTGTCACATCCTATCATGATACCAGATGCTCCTGAACGTCCACACAGGCCAGCTCATGAGGAGATCTTAGAGAACTAGCAGGCCGAGGATGACTATGCCATTGATCTGTTGCCTATCTGACACCAGATACAGATGATTGGGCGGGAGACTTTGGACATAGGTATCATTGACCAGGGAGATCCTAAGGCGATGACCACTGTGGAGCGGATGATGAGGGAGGCAGAGAGTGTGGCAGTATACAGTAGACAAAGGAGGGCTCGGGGAGTGAGGATCAGACATACGAAGTAGGCTTTGTCTTTTTTATACTTTTTTTTATTTCCGAACAATTTATGAATAATTATTGTATTATTATTTAATGTTCAACAACTTATTCAGTCTATTATCTTTATTTATGTCTTATAATTTTTAAATTACGTTTTTATTATCATTTTCAACTAATTATTTACCAACATATTGAAGATTTTAACAAAAATATCATTGTCCAAGGTTTCGGAGATGCACCTCCGGAAGAATCAAATCAGGGTGTTTCGAAGACGCGTCTCCGAAAATATTACTGCATGTTTAAATATAACGTCCAAGTCCAAACAAATTGTTTTTGGAGATACATCTCTGAAACACTTTGATTTGGGATGCGGTCGAAAATGCATCTCCGAAGGATATTTTCGAGTTTTTAGGGGTTTTTCCCGACCCATAAGAAGTGTACAAAGAAATTTTCATATAACAAAGGTGATTCTTATATTCAAAATTTTAAATTTCGGGTAAAAACATGGTTTCTTGATCTTTTCATGGTAGTGGTTTGATCATTAATGCATTAGTGTGATGTGTAATAAATGTGAGTTAGAAGTTCTTTATTAGGTAAAAAGTGGAGATTGAACAACAAATAAATGTGAATACTTATAAACCCAAGAACTTAAATTTTGGATTAAGATGTAATGTATAACTTGTATGCTTTCTTTTAGACTAATATAGATGACCTCTCGAGCTCTCTACATGATCCAACAATGGTGTCAACAAAACTCTCTTCTTTATGATTCTTTAATTGGTGCCTTCATTTTCTCCTCTCTTTGGTGCAAAAATGCGTCTTAGATTCTCGAAAAATGTGAACTCCAATGACTTAACATATTTTTTAAGTTATAGAAAGATTTATGAAATTGCAGGATCGCGCCACACCTACACTTAACCCTATTACGATTGGAAAATTTGTCTGATTTGTAATTCTCAAAAATTGTTTGGATCGTGCCACTAGTCTTGGGAGTGTGCCGCTTTGGCCATTTAAAATTTGATAGTGTCGCTACATTTGAAGGTGTGCAACTATTGTTTGTTGTGATTTTTCTCTGATTTTCGTTTGTTCTTCGTTTGTTAGTCCTCTCTTTGCATCATCATTCTAAATTTCACAGTAAAATACTATGATATTTGTCTGGTTAGGATTATTTTAACTTGGCTTAGTTTTTTTGATTATTCATTGCTTACTAAACATACTAACTATTCTTTCACTTACATTTTAGTATATGCTGTTGATTTTCTTTTTGTATGAAATGACTTCTTTGGAATTAACAAAGTGTCTCTAAACAATAAATTTACAATCAAAGACGTAGGAAATTATTAGTATTTCCTTGGCTTTGAGATTGCAAGGTCATCTCAAGGCATATCTATGGTCTTTTAGCATCTAAACCAACCTCCATTTGTTAGAGTTATTTTAAGTGTTAGTTATTTTATCCCTATGTAATTTTGTTACTCCATTATCCTATGTAGTGTAGAAAACCCTTTGTACAAACTGAGTTAGTAATAATAGTCAAAATAAATATTCTTTAACATAAGTATAATTCATTAAAGTCATTAGTGACTGTTGATGATTATGATGATGTTTCATTATGGGTTTTGTTCTGGACTGGGCCCGACAGGCCCAAAAGCATTACTAAGGTTCAGTCCAAAGGGACTCTCTAAGGACCACACTGGGAAAAGGGGGTCACGTCCATGCCCGACACCATGATGTCCACCTCGACATCCCGATGTCCAACCCACGCGGTGAAGTCGTGCTCGACACCCTGCCGTCAGCTCCATGTCCTGGCGTCCAGCTCGACACCCGCCGTCCAGCTCGAGGTCCTGGCGTCGAGCTTAGCACCGTACTGCCCAGCTCGACATGGGCCCGAGCTACCCGGCTAGGGCAGACTCAGTCCACCGTTCCCCCAACGATACTCCAGAAAGACCGCGTCTCCGTCCGCCCGCACTTCACGCAGCACATCCAGGAAGGGGACCACGTGCGGGTCCCCACTACCCACGTAGAACCTGGCAGTTCCTCCATTGGGCCAAATCCGCCCAGCCCAACGAAGGAACCTTGGCCCAGCGCTGGGGGCTATAAATACCCTCTATTTCTAGAGGGTCAGGTATTCATCATTCTAACCTCAACTCTATTATCTGCTCGTACTCCCACTGACTTTAGCATCGGAGTGCCTTGCAGGTACCCCCCCTCCTCGTTCAAAAAGCTTTCAGCTCGGAGCAAGCCGTGACGGTCCAAACCTTCTGATCAGGTCAGATCGGTGGCGCCGTCTGTGGGAAGCAGCTTCCCCGTCTAACGAACAATTCCAAAGACCAAAGCTCAATTCAATTACCTGTCATGGCTGATCCAGCTCGTGAAGAACAGCACACCCGCGTCACCGACACCAACAACGGTCCCGCGGACAAGAATGGACACCTCGACAATCTCGGTGATCCCGGCCGCAATGCCACTCCTGCGACAACCGCCCCTGGACCTTCCACCCGCAGGGACGGGAACACTGCGTCTTCCTCGACGACCCCTCCAACACTCGAAGACGACTCGGAAGCTCTCGCCTATCGCCGAGCTGCCCGGTTCTATGAAGTCCAAGTCCCTGCCGGGGCAGATGCCACGACTCAGGCACTGTTCGCGGCCATCAACCAGACAAATTATCTCCTATTCGCCCAAGGAGAAAGACTAAGGGCACTGGAAAATGATCGACGACCCCCGAGGAGGCATCAGAGGCCATCATCTCCACCTCCTCGGGTCGAAGAAGTTCGACACCCTACTCCCCCGCGGAGACATTACAGGGAGAACTCTAGGAGCCCCTCTCCCCCACCAAGGCAGAGGCGGCCCCAATATGAAAGACAGCCCGTCATCCCTACCGAAGAACCCAGTCGCGACCCATCAAGGCACGACAGGAGGCACAACAGAGACGGGCGTGTGACCTTCAACCACCGAGCATCACGCTCGAGGGAATCTCAGCACGACCATCGTGCCCGGCATAACTACAGGACCCCTTCTCTCTCTCCAGAAAGGAGCGACGAGGACGACCCCCGCGGTCCCCTGTCGCAGGCCATCATGGACGCACCTATTCCCCCGGGCATGGAGAAGCCCCCACACCTGAAGGAGTATGATGGAGTGGCGGACCCAGTCGACCACATTGACGGGTTCGAAGCCATGCTCCACTATCACAATGTCGGGGGGCCCATCAAGTGCCGTCTCTTCCCAACAACTCTCAGGAAGGCGGCCATGGACTGGTACAAAGGACTCGCCCCGGGCTCCATCACCTCGTGGCGGAACCTGAAGAACCAGTTCATCAGTTCCTTCACAGCTTCCCGTCGCCACCCGAAGACTGAGGCAGCCCTCGAGGCCATCATTCAAAGACAGGATGAGACTCTGAGGGAATTCATTAACCGCTTCAACCGGGAAGCGATCCAGGTCCCCTGCGCGGACCATATGAAAAGGTACTTGCTGGAGAGGGGCCTCCTCCCCGGCACAGAATTCAGGAAAGCTGTGGGCATTGAGCCACCTGCAACTTTTGATGCTCTCCTCGACAAAGCCCGAGCATACATGGACTACGAGGAGAGAGAAGCTGCCAACAGGGCACGAGACTCCAGGGCTCGCAATCATGGCAGCAGCTCGAGACAAGACCCTCCTCCCCGACGGACCGGAGAGAAAAGGAAGGAATACCGACCCCGGGAGGTCCGGGAACAAAGGGGCCCCTCGGGCCGTTTCACCGAGTACACTCCGCTCACGGCTTCCCGTGAGCGTATTCTGGCGGAGTGTGCTAGCACAGATTTTAAAGACGGTGGCGTCAAGCGTCCCCGGCCAGCTCCTGCCAAGCCAGGAGTAGACAAAAACAAGTACTGTCAGTACCATAGGAGTCATGGTCACTTGACAGAGGACTGCGTCCACCTGAAGGACGCCATCGAAACCCTCATCAAAGGAGGGAGGCTTGCACAATACAGGCGAAACGACGCTCCCCGTCGTGACGCCCGCGAGGCAAAGGAGCCCGAAGAAGATGCCCGACCATCTGACGAGTCGATGCCAATCCAGACCGCCTTCTCGGTAACCAGGCCCGAGGATTTCGAACTTCCCGAGCTCCTGCAGGAGCCCCCGACGACACACAGCAGGTGGGAATACTTCCCCTCCGCCATGGTCATCAACGGGGGCGGGTTCAACGACCTCACCATCAACTCAGCCAAGAGGAAGTTGGACGAACTGGTCGACGCAGCTCCTCCACAAACTGTGACTTTCGAAATGGTGAAGGGCAGATCAGAGCCCATCACTTTCTACTTGGAAGAGCTCCCCGGCGGAGCACCGAACGCAGTCATCCCCTTACTGATAAGGGCAAAAATGGCCAATTTTGACGTGCATCGCATCCTGGTCGACGAAGGGAGTTCCGTCGACGTGATGTACACCCAGCTGTTCCGGACCTTACAACTGGACGACTCACATCTGTCTCCGTATATAGGTTCGGACCTTCAAGGCTTCAACGGCTCGACTTCCAAACCTTGGGGATATGTCGAGCTCCTCGTGACGTTCGGGGAAGGAACTGCTACAAGACAGGTGAAGGTCCGCTTCCTCGTCATTGACTGCCCGTCCCTATACAATTGCATCTTGGGGAGGCCGACATTGGCGGAGCTGACAGCGGTTCCCTCAACTGTCCATCTAAAAATGAAGTTCTATACCAAAAGGGCAAGGGTAGCCACCATCCAGGGTGACCTCGCTGCTGCCCACAGGTGCTTCAACGCCGCTTCAAGGGGACGGGATACCGTCGACGTGGGTACTAGCACCAGACCCATCAAGAAGACAAAGCAAGAGCCCGACAGAGCATCTCCCGAGGTAGAAGTTCAGAAGGCTCCACCAAAGGTCGACTCCATAGCTCTCGACGCCCGCTTCGACCAAGACGAGCCACCCAGCAGCGAGCAAATCCCCCTCCGACCTATTCCGGACGGCGATTTCGAACTCGTTCCCCTCGGAGCAGACCCGACCAAGGGAGTGAAGATTGGCAAGGACCTCC